TGAATGTTCTCAAATAGATTATTATTAATATTGAAACATTGTCTAATATTTATAAGAATTATATTAACTGTATTGCAAAGTTGAAATTATTCGTTTAAAGTATATTAGAACTATAGTCAGAATTAAAAATAAAATCTGAATTATTTTCGATTACAAAAAATTTTTTTTTGAAAAAAAAAAAGTTGAAACAAATTTCTTTTTCCAAAATCAATTATTTTGATAAGACAAGAAGAAAGTTCTTTAAATCATTTAAATCGGACGCTTAGTTCTCTCAAAAACTGCCATTTTTTACATATTCATACTCCTTATCTTCAAAATGGCTGGGCCTGCCTTTGCCAAAAACTAATAAATACTTCTCCCTATCATTACTAATTGAATGTTTTTCTAGATCATTCAAATCGGATACTTTTTTATCTCAAAAAGTCGATTTCTATTTTCTGCACTCTTTGCTCCGTATCTCCGAAACGGCTGGACCTGCCTTTGCCAAAAACGAATCAGCTCTTCTCCCTATAAATAGGAATCGAATGTTTTTTAAACCATTCAAATCGGTTGATCCGTGCGCCCGAGAACGTGACTGGAAATTTGTATTCATACATACATACACACACACATACACACACACACATCCATTTTTCTGAGGTATGCCAAAATGTTCAGAAACCTTCAAAACGTCGAGAAATGTAAAAAATTTCAATTTCGATTTTTGGCCTATTACTGTAACTTACCCTACGGGAAGTTAATAATGCCATTAGGCATTAGAGTACTAGAATAAAGGAAATTTTTTAAATTATTTAGTAACATTTTCAATGATCTTGTTTTTTACACTATGAAGGAATATATAAGTTATGACTCCTACGACCTTAAGTTATGATATCTTCATTACTAAAACTAAGTCTCTTTCAAACTAAATTTCATAAAGGTTAATTAATAAATGTAATTTAGTATAAAATCATTTAGTATAGAGTTTTATGTATTATTATAATTAGGTAAATAAATGAAAATTATTATAAATAAAAAAATATAAAAGGCAGAGCGGAGCTTAAAGGTCCGCCAATAAAAAGGTCCACCACCGATATATCAAAAGCATGAAAAGTTACGTTTTTTTTAACAATATTTGAAAGTAAAAATAAAAGATGTATAACCAGCCATCATCTTAATTTCTACGACGTAGTTATCGGAAGATAAACAACAATGTTAGAAAATCCATAACAAAAATATTTTATTCTTCGCATACATATAATTAGACAGTTATTCCAACTATTTCTGATAAAGTATCAGATCAAGGTATTATAGAGTTTTATCTCTATAAAAAATATACCAATAAAATAATGTAGCTATTATTTCGTAAAATCCTTTTAAAATTAAAAAGAGGACATTGGATTTGTTTGCCCTCTAGTCGAACTATTTCACCCCGCCTATGGGGTCAAAAGGACAAGGTTACAAATTTTTGAAAAAACAGCGAGAAAAATTCCTCAATGACGGATAAAATACTGACTATAATCAAATATAGCCAGTATTTTTTTCTTCACTACTATATTTGCAACTGCCCAGTTGAGGACATTAGTGAATAGTAAATATAGCCAGTATTTGATCATTTTTTTATTTCCCTATATTACTCCCATCATAAACATTTACAATCATGTATTAAACCCGAGTTATTATACGTAATATGACCAATCATTAAATGAACACATTCAAAATTTGCTATTGATGCAATAAATATTTACATAATGAAAAGGCAGTAATTTACCCAGTATCGTTTCCTGGTATATTATAATTCCCAGAATCGGGGGAACGGGATTGGGTTAAAATCGCCACAGGGTGTACGAGTATATACAGTTCATAAATTTCCGGGAATATAAAACGGCGTCGGGTTGACATCGAACAGCGAGCGGTCATCACGATAACTCCCGAAATGCGCATGCATCAGGATATCAAATTTGTAAAACGTGTCCAGAATATTCGCATCGCTTAGTCAATGCCTTTGGCGATCTCGGAAAAAGCTGATTCTTCCAAAATAGCACCGACATTTAGACATTTATAAATATATCTACCCAAATGGATTTGGACCATATCAAACAGGGATAAAGTTGAATCACAATTATAGTTTGTTGTTGGTGTTTAACAAGTCTCAATGTTGTTTTTATATGTTTAGATTTTATAGTTATAGGGCAAGGCATCGATCTTTTATATTAATGAGATAAGATTAATTTCTAAAAATTATTGTTTTTGATTAAAATTTGTTTATGTTGTGGATTAAAATTTATGGCAACTATTTGAGAGCAACTGGTAGGGATAAAGTTAATTATGACAATGAATTTATTCATATATTCATTAAGATTAAAATTTAGTTATAGTAAATTTCAGACTTAATTTTAATAATTATGGTTAAAGTTATGGAATAAAAATTGAGGTTACTTGTTTAGTGCAAATAGTCCCCATGAAGCTCTGTGCCAGAAAAACAAAAAAACTATTTATTATTGATAAAAATATTTTTAATAATTTAGTAACAATATTGAGTAGTGTCAAATGCTGAAAAATAAATTAATTTTATTAATAACTATAACAATTGTGAAATGAAAATGATGGAACCAAGTTTAGTTACACTAGGAAGCTTACAACAATTAAATTGAACAATACAATACAATTAAATTATTATTAATAAAAATATTCTTTAATAATTTAATAACATATTAGGCAAAGGTATAATTTGACTTCGAGCAATTATATTGTGGAAACCAAACTAAAATATCACATATCAAATAAACAACTATCTGACTATTTTCAGTAAATCTCCCAGGTGATCCGTCATTGTAGAAATTTTTTATATATATAAATTATATTGGCTTTACATATTATTCAGCAGGTCTGAAAATCGTCTACTATATATTTTTCTGATCAAACAATTGTCTTTTTTGTGAAAGTCTTTCATTGAATTCTCAACAAGAATTTTCTGAGTTTATATAAAAACCTAATTTTATCCGCTTTATCCCCTCAAATATTTCCAAAAAAAATTCTTCGATATTGGAGACAGAAATGTTAGCATCGACAAAACTAGATCAGTCAAATGGATTATCTCATTTTACAGATAGTTTCCGATTTGCACATACAGTATATAGATCATAAATGGCTTGCAGAAAGATTTAAAACATTATGATCTTAAGAGTTGAATATTGTGAAATCTCACTCAAAAACTTAATATTCGAATTTTGCTAATAATTCAAAATTAATGAAAAGCGCTTTAATAATATATGAGAACCATAAATCTTCGAATGTGCCAATTCAAATAAGTTTCAAATTAAGCCAGCACTTGTAATAACTATCAAAATGCCCCTAGAACATTTATATGCGGCATGCGTTGCAGTGGGTGAACCATAAATTTAATGTTTTACTTATCGCTTTTACCTATATACCATATACTTCTACATTCAAAATCAGTTTGTTATTTTTTATAATAAAAATTTTGTAAAAATAATTTATAATACAAATGCAAAATACAAATACAAAATGTTAAAAGTATAATACATATAATATATACTTATACAAATGTTAAAAGTTTTAATAATTTTGATGTTGAAATATGTGAAATTGGCAATTCATAATATAAAAACTTGTAGAAACTTATAACATTTTTATTGTTAAGGTAAAACTTAAGTTTTGCCTTAAGTGTTTTCCTCAAATGATCAAATTTAGTATTTGTGAATTCAAAATATATTTAAGTAAATCTCGACACTTCTAAATAGAGAAAATAATTAAAAACTATCTAGAACTATCTTTACCTGAGTTTAAAAGACACCGCTGCGTTTACGTTAAATTTTATTTGAACGTAAGTAAGTAAGTAAGAAATTCGCTTAGACAAACTCGTATAAAACGAGCATAAATTCCTTTATGTCACATTACTCTTATTTAACCGAGCTATGTTTTCTTAAGAAGATACTTTATTTTTCTTTTCGCTCTGACACATAAAAAATTCGAACACCTATAAAAAGTACGCGAGATGAAGAAAGTAATTAAATTGTGTTATTGTACATTTTATAATCCGAGATGAAATGCAAGTAATGCCAAAGTATAAAAACTTTCTTGTCACGTAGCATTATTTCTGCAATAAAAACTCTAGACGATTCGTTAAGAGAATATCCTCGGTTATCTTCTGCGAAATTTTATATCCCTAATTATTTGTTCAATATGAAGAGATTTGTTTTGTCATTAAGCTGATCTCATCCAATCCTGACGGAAGGCAATGTTAATTCTAGGTTCATTTTTTTACTGGAAATTTTTCGATAATATATTTTTTGAGTAGCTTGCGCTAAATTTTGACAAAACTTGCCAACACATTCCAAAACATTTTTTTATAGAAAAGAGCCTCTAAAAGTCAATCGAATTATGCTCCCAAGGGCGCCAATGCTTCTATATGAATAAAAAATGAATCTCTAATAGTATTAGCTCTTACTATAAACATTTAGATAGAGCGCACACCAATAGAAAGTTTCTTATATTTGTTATTCACATACGCCATTAAATAAATTCTTGCGCCACCTGTATGATATTCGTAAACTCAAATATTTTGACACATTCAGAAACCACTTAACTTCTTCATGAGGGCCGTTTCTTCGTAATTATGTAGGTAAGTTTTTTTGACGATTTTGATTAGACCTTGTACGAGATTACGTAGGAAATATATGAAATGAAATATGTTAAACAAATTAATTTAATTTGTACTAATGCATACATTGTAAGTATATGTCGAAGATATCAATTAGAAATCGTATTAACTATTATTTGGCATAGGCAACTATTTTATTTTTGAAATAAACAGTTGAACATTTTGCCGAATTAGCTGCAAATCAATTCTATTTATAAGAAGGTTGTTGCATGCGAATCGGAAAGGTCATGCAACATTGCAGCAAGATCTATATTTCCATGTAAAATGGATATCCATACTGCATGGAATAAGTTGCCAAATAAATATGAAGCTAAGGAAATAGTAAACGTGTACTCACTCTGAAATGGCTCTGACATAAGAGTTGTTTTCATCTTCTTGAGCGCCAACCGAAACACCCATAGCGGTCTCTGTGGACAATAAATGACAGAATCTTGATAAAAATTCCTTCATATTATATATATATATATATATATATATATATATATATATATATATAATAACTTTGTATTCGTATATATGAAACCATACCAAAGCTTTTTTATATTTTCCCAAGTTTAGTGAAACGTACGTCGAAGTGACCCTGGCGACATTGCGGTTAAATATGAACTGACGATTGGGGGCAACTTATCTTGTTCTTTGTCGAGATAAGTTTATAAAAAAGAACAGCTTCAGGAAACAAAGGGAAACCCGTTAATGGGTCGCAATTTGTTGGTCTTTGTTTTTTACAAGTCCCATTTATTATAGTAACAGGATGCGAGAGATATCAGAAGGATTTAAATTATAATTGAACAAAAGAGAGACTTAATAATATAAATTTAAATTATATCCATAGCACGTTAGAAATTTTAATTTTGTATTTGAAAATTGTTGGAATTTAATATATTTATGCTTTATCTATTATTGTAGCACGTGACAAGATTGTACAATTACAATTGTAACAAGATCCACTAATCATTACTACAAATTAGAATATTTGCTAATTGCACCGATGCTTCTTACACCAGAAATAAAAAAGACCAGAAAAATATAGTCAGTTAACTTGATCCATTAAATTGTATTTAATACTATAATTATCCACTGGATAAGCCAATACTATCTATAATTATATTTAATTAATGTCCATCAAAATAACTAAAAGAATGTAACTGATTTTTGTTCTGATTGTTATTATTTAAAGGAATAAAAAGTTGCAGGTTTTAGTAAGACGTATATTTTGGTCATGAAATATATATATGGACTGATATGAAATGAATTTTTGTGTTAACCCTACAAGGTTCATAATAGTTTTACAGCTATAGGAACGATTAAGGTTGGCGCTCCACACATGTAACTGGGTGCTTTTCAGGGTTATTACAAAAATATTATTATTGCAGAACTAACAAGTTTATTCAGATGACTTAAAAACGTATATAAACGTTATTTAGATGAAGAAGATCGAATAAAAGATGATAGATGATATATCACTTCAGAAAGATCAGGAATAAAAAATGATGCAGAAGATACTCCAGAGCCATAGAAGTTGAGCCAAATGAAGACCAGAATTTTGAAGATTGAAAATCAATATTAATAATTAAATTTAATTATGACCAGAATTTTGATTCAATATTATACCAATTATCAATCATCTGAGAAAATAAGGTAAGCAGTGATTAATTGATCAGGTATCGAATTTTAAAACTCGTATTTTTACATGAGTTGATTAAGGTCCATCTAATAAAAGGTTTAGAAAGGTTTTAAACTTTTAAAAACATATGTTTGAATTCGTATTATACCTCGCTAAGAGAGCTTATAAAAAACACTATACACGTCCCTTTTTTTCCTGAAATATGTTTATTAGTTCTTGTATATTGTATAAATCATAAATATATAAAATTTATCACCATTTTATTGAGCGTTTTTAATTGAAATTCGATCAAGATTTTTCTGAGTTTACGAAAATGCCTAAATTTATTCCCTCTATCCGCTGCAACATTTTACAAACAATTCTTAGATATAGGCAACGGAATGGTTAAATCCGATAACATTAACTGATTTGCAAACCTATCCTATTATATAAATATTTCCCGATGTGCATAAGAAATACATAGTTTTTTAATGTTTTGCAGAAGGAACAATTCTAGCAAAAAAAATAGAAATTTAATATTAAATTTGAAGATAAAACTGTTTTTGAGAGAAAACTAATTTTTTTCAGCAATTCAAATATGGATGTTAGTATTTCAGCGTTGCAGTGGATAAATTATTAATGTAATTTGTGTTAGCTGCCCCTTTCATTTATTTACCACATATTTATACATTCATAATTAGTTAGTCATTTCTTATACTAAAGATTTTTTAAAAATATTTTCTGTGGCTAAATGTTCGCCGGGTCAGCTAGTATATATATATATATATATATATATATATATATATATATATATATATATATAAATTGTAAAATTTAAATTGGCCCGTGAGGTAAAAAGGTTGCTCGCCCTTGATATAGATGATACTCTAATTTGATGCAAAAAGAACACAAATGCATTCACAAAAATTCTCATCAATCGATTTACTACCTCCATTCATTCATGAAATTTTGAAGCATAAAACAAAATTACTATAACTTGCCCTACGGGAAGTTAACAATTGCAAAATTACAATTCTAACATTTTATCATCATTTCATCAATCGATTTACCACTTTGATGAATTCATTAAATCCTCTATCAATGATACTGTCAAATTATTTTACTGATTATCACATCGTTCAAACTATATCGGTTTTGTGGGTGATTATTATTCAGATATTTCAATACTAGTTGTCAATATAGAACTTTTATGAACCAATTATGAAACACAATAGTCCAAACATCCTAATACGTTTTATATATATATATACAGTATTGGGGCATGTTCAGATTTAATGTCATATTTTAAAAAGCAAAAGAGCTTATAGATATATATTGAAAATAAGATACTTTACTGGCAACCTTATGCAAATAAATAATTTGGGGATTACATGGCTACATTAATAAAAATAATTCAATCAAACTTTGTATGGAAAGAGCATAATTTTTTTTTTGAAAATTAGAAAAAAATGTTTTAGGTATAACTTAGCGACAAATGAATAAGTTTTATTCATTCATTTGTTCGCTAAATTACATCTAAAAAACATCTTTAAAATTTTTGAAAAAATTTCCATGCTATTTCCATACAAAACTTTGATTGATTTGCGCTCTATCTAAACGTTAATATTAAGAGCTTTTCTATTTCCTTTCTTATCTATTTGGAACCATTTGAGACCCTGGGAGCAAGGAAATTCGAAAATGACCATTTTAAGGACCACCCTAATGTACATATTCGCTTTATTCACAAATATCAAGAGAAATTTAGCAGAACTACGTCTAACGAACCAAATCGAATTTGTTCGATTGTAACTATTTAATAGTTAAACTATAAAATAATGCAAATTGTATCATTATTTACCATACAATCATAGCTTCTATTCTTGCAAACTGAACTAAAACCTATAAATAGCTTAAACTTACATCTGAATCATTTGTTGTGATTAAAAGATTTGCACATAAACTCATTAAAATATGTACACAGGACCACAAGTTAAAAATTATATGGCTATTAATAAGTGTATGGCATATGTTTTCCAATTTAGTTTTTAGCTCTGATCAGAAAACTGAAGTCGAAATTGGGGGTAACTGGTAGAAAATTAAAAAAAAAGAATATACAAAATCTCCTATATAAAATATCTTCTGTGTGATACTTAAAACCTCATAATTTTTGTCATTTCCTGACCCTTTGTACCTTAAATGACTATTGGGTATCAATTAACTTAAGTGATCTATTAAGTTTTGTTTGTAGAAGACAAGTATTTTGCCAAAACATTTTCAGATATTCAAATTGTAAACATGGTTGCAGATTACCTAGGGGCAACGGGGAAGAAATTTGTTTGCAGATTACTGCTGAATTATACAAAAAAGACTTAATCGATCATTTAATTGTGACTCAATAGTCATTTAAGATAAAGAAGAGCCAGGAAACGACAGAAATTATGAGAGTTTGATTACTGTGGAGAAGAATTACTAGACCAAAGATTTTGTCGTTTTTTAAAACAAAAATTTGTCGTTTGATACCAAATTGTGACTTTATATTCGTGTTCAGCAATAAAAACTACATTGGAAAACATATCCACATACCCAATACAGACAACTTTTCTTATTGGATTCATGTGGACCTGTGATTTTTTATATTGCATCTAATCAGTAGATCTATAAGGTCTATGAATATTTTTATTAAATTATATCATCATTACAAAAATTTTGCACTTATTTTGTACAATCTGCTTTCTTAATTTTCAGTTATTTTTTGCGTTCCTGTTACCAACTATCAGAGACATTTCTGTACCCATAAAAATAAAAAAGTCGTAGCTTAAGAATTTATGATCAAACAAAAGCGTTCTCTCATTTTTTCCTTAGCGATTTATTTTCCAAAGAGTTTTAATCGCTTTACCCGATTTCTGAGCGCTATCGAGCATCCCCGGAGGGTTGCACGGGCCGCGTTCTCGCGAGGCTTAATGTCTCTTCCACTGGCAAATATCGATAAAAGATTAATTTTTTCATCGACGACATAAATTCACCCGTTATCTGGTAGATTCACACGAACGGGAGAAAAATCTGGCTTGGGCACAACCCACAAACTGATACTATGAACATACACCATCCCCGGGAAGAAATTTGTATCATTGGTACTGCAACTTTTAAGGGAAACTAATTTTTTAATATAATTGTAATATGCGTCGAATATTTAGTTTTGACAAATAAATATCTTAGAAGATCACGTTATACAATTGCTATTACTTAAACATATTTATTGAATGATAACTCATCCATCTTCAATTAAAAAGTAAGGTTCAGGTAACGTAATGGTAATGCTTGAGTATAGTATAAGTATATAACAAATATTATTTTTCAAATATAGTTTGTGTTTTTCATATTAAATGAAGATATAGACAAATCAGTAGCTAAGAAAATGGGGGATAGATAAATACAAGTAAATATTTAAATCAGCTGTCGGGGTACATTTTTAATCATTACCCCAAAATTATTTGGTCCTTGTTGTTATTACCTTCATGGAAAAAAGAGATTACTCTCATATGTCAACTACGTAGCAAATACAGTAAATATCAATAGAAATACATACTTTCTACCCCAAACATTCTATATTTTGGGGCAATTCACCTCATTTGGGGTAAATAGTCATGGATAAGAGTCTACGTTGGCAGATGCATGAATAAATGAATAAGTTCATACAAAATTGGTAACTTCAACATATGAGCAAAATGTAATTATATAAACAAGATAATATAGAAATAACTAGAAAAATATCTAAGTAGCTAGTTAGATATATTCGTACTTAGATATAAAAGGTACAAATATAGATAAAAACAAGTTTTCAAAGCAAGTGGATAGATAGTACTTAGAATGTGTGTATATTAGTATTAGGAATCATGTGAACAATTAGGTAAATTGTATGATAATATTTGAAAGTAGAGAGTAAAAGACGTATCTAGCCATCACTCGCCATGATTCTTACGACTGGAGATAAATGTCAACTTTGGATATCCATAACAAAAGAAAATTATTTTGTTGTTATTCTATTTGGTTGGGAGCACTGTTGTTTAGTTTACGAAACCTTAATATAATTTTCAAGTGCATGTTATTTAATTGTTTAATAATACGTATTACTAATACTCAACTACTTAATAATTTAAATTATATTCAGGAGTTTTTTTATATAACCTCTATAAAAATATAAACATAGGTGGGGTAAAAACGACCTACTGAACCTTACTTTAGCAGAGGTATAAACAATTAATATAAAATAAAAATAGTAAATAAACAATTAATTAGTTAAAGAAATCAATTTTACAAGAGATGAATTATATGTCTGATAATAATAAATAATAATAAATATCTGACGATCTAGTATTTCTATCGAAATACTAGATCAAGGTCATATACAGTGTTATCTACGTAAAAAATGTACTCATAAAATTCATATTGCATTGTTGAATAAGGTAGCTATTATTTTATAAAATTCCTTCAAAATTAAAAATAAGGCATTGGATCTGATTGCCTCCATTTTAATCATGGGGTAAAAAAGAATAGGTGACAAATTTTTAAAAAATAGCAAAAAAACCCAAACACAATCATGAATTAGCTGGGAGTTTTACTGATCATAGTCAGATTTGTTTGTTATGTGTTTTATTGTGAAATAATTGGTTTGGTTTTCACAATATGATTACCCAGTTAAATTAGACCTTTGTGCACCGCCCTATCCTACTAAATATAGATCCACTGAAAGAATAAATAAAAATCTATTTTATGAAGGTAAAAAAGAATAGGTGACAAATTTTTGAAAAATAATGAAAAAAGCATAGTTCTACAATGATGAATTAGCTGGGAGTTTTACTGAACATAGTCATATAGTTATTTGTTTTATTGTGATATAATTGTTTTGGTTTTCACAATACAATTGCACAAATTGGACTTTTGTGTCTCGCTCTACATACTAAATATAGACCAACTGAAAGAAGAAATAAAGAATAGGTGACAAATTTTTGAAAAATAACAAAAAAGCACAGTTCTACTATAATGAATTAGCTGGGAGTTTTACTGAACATAGTCAGATAGTTATGTTTCATAGTCACGTTTGCTATGTGTTTTATTGTGGAATAATTGGTTTGGTTTTCACAATATAATTGCTCAAAGTCAAATTGGACCTTTGTACCCCGCCCCACCCTACCGAATATAGACCCACTGAAAGAAGAAATGGAAAACTATTTTATGGAGTTTTTAAATGCAACTATTTTCAAAACAACAAGTGAGAATTAGAAGAAAATTTAGAAAATTAGAATTACTACATGATACCATTTTGAAGCAAATAAGGAACAGTATAAACAACTAATAATAAAAAATATTGCTGGTCTCAAAAAATACCAAAAGACCAAAATTGTTAAGATGAAGTAGAATGCAAATATTAAATATTAAAAAAAAACATAGAATTGAAAGCAGTGACAGAGGTCACATGGAACAAAAAGGTTAATAAATAGATTATATACAGAGAAGGAAGGCGAAGAAAAATGGTGCTCCCATGGCATGAAATTGTCTCCGGGCTTTTTATATTGAGGTACGTAAAACTGTAGCTAAACAAAAAATACCTTTTTTCAGTAGTAGATATTTCTTTTGATCATGTATGTATTACTATGCAAATTTGATAAATTATTATGTCTCTTCTAATTGGGTCATTTAGAATTTTTTCACACTCAAACTTCTAGTTGTCCTTAAATGGTTTGAGAAAACTACCTCCAAAGTGACGGGTGGCGCAAGAGGCCAGAAAAGTCGGGCTTTCGAAATGAGAATAAAAAGTACATTTTCCACGATGGTACATTCGAACGTATCTCCTTCTCTACTTGCTCTCTCTGTGAATTGTGTCCGAGTTAAAAGAAAAAATCTGGCAATAAATATTTTCGGACACATTCAGCTTTCAGCCAGCATAGAGGTGACGGTAAATCAGAGATACGGCTAGTTATAACGGATTTTGTATTTGAAAAAATAAATGAGTAGTAAATTACATGATTTTCATTTTGCCATATAATGGAGAAGGTATTTAATCTCCAAGTTTTATTTTATGCAATTGTGATATAAGAAAGTATTTACTACATATGCTAGATACATTCAAAAATAATACCACGAAACAAAAATTATTCATTTTGAGCACACATTTAACTTTTTGAAGGAAAACTTTACGTTTTCAAGAAGAATTCCGAATTGGTAAATTTATGCTGTTTAGACGTTTCAAGTCTTTCTGAATCGAATGAGACTAAATTTGGAACAAATATGTGTGTGTATGTAAAGCCGATTCGACCTTTAGTCGATGTATTTTCAAAAATGGCTGGACCGCAGTTCGATAACAACTATTGGTGATTAGTCCTGTGCGAAGATCGGCGAAGCCGTTTCTTTGTAATTAACAAAAGCTTGTAAAAATGTTTGTCCATGTTTTGGCTAGCAATCTTGAATCGATTTTAAAAATCAAAAACTATTCGAAAGGTATTGGTTGGAAATCGCGTTGATTAATTTTTGTTAAAGATTGGCCGGACCGTTTCTTGGTAATTGAATATTTAAAAAATGTTATTTTTTGACGTTTTTGATAAAACTTTGTTAAACAACAGATTTCGCAATCCAAAATAATGTAATAAAATATTATAGTTGAATTATAAAAATTAACCAAGGTTTACAATTTCGCAGCGCGCTTAAGTGATTCTAACCAGAATCTATGCCACTATGAATTTTTGCATGAATTTGTTCTGTGGTGTTTTCTAAATCGCTACTGATTACAGTTGACGTCCACATTTAAATATAATTAAATTTAAGAACACAAAATAGATTAAATAAAATGTGTTAAATAAAAAAAACTTAATTCATACAATTACAAATTTCTTATAAATTTGTTTGAAAGACATCAATCGAAAACGTATTGATCATTTTTTAGTAGAAGCAAATATTTTATTTTTGAAGTAGCAGTTGACTACTTGATCTAAGTAACTCTCAATTCCCATTTATTAAGTTGATGAAGAATGTCCAAAGAAGTATGTTTTTATATAGTTCAATCAATTAGACTATGACTGTTAGCATTGCAAAAATACTTTAAAAAACATACTAACTGCAAATTCTGCTTAATTTTTATAGTTCCTATTTTATATAAAAAATATTTTTTTAGTTTCACACAATTGTATTTAAAAAAGAATTACCAATTTCAAATTCGACCCATTGCCATTTATTTATTATTTTTGTTAGATGTCCACCAAGAACACGAAATTATATGGGAAATGAAAATGTAAAACTAGTGGTGTATTGCATTGTGCCTTCAAACCAATTTTGGAACTTCCAGTACTATATTGAAATATTCAAAGAATAAAATTTAGTTCAAAAAAAATTTTTTTTTTAAATAAAACAAATTTAAAAAAAAATAATTTTTTCTCAAAAAGCAACTTTTTTGTGAACACAAGCAGAAAGTTTTTTGAATCATTCAAATCGGATGCTCAGTTCTCTCAGAAACTAGATTACAATTTTTTGCATTTTTTGTTTCGTATTTCCGAAACGGATGGACCTGTCTTTGCCGAAAGACATCTCCCTATCAATAGCAACCATTCGAATCAGTTGATCATGCGCCCGAAAACGTGGACGAAAAATTATATACATACAAATATACACACACACATCCGATTTTTCTAAGGTAAGGCAAAATGTTCAGAAACCTTCGAAACGTGAAGATATGCAATAATTTTAAATTTTAATTTTTGGACGATTACAGTAACTTACCATACGGTAAGTTAATATAACTAAAAATAAAAAATATAACTGATATAATAAATAAGTCATATATAAATAGAAAAGTAAGTATTAAATAGATTCGTAATGTAGTTAATTACCCACTTGGTATGATAATAAAAAATAGATAATTTTGACCGCTTAAATTATAAATATTAGACATATTATAAACCACAGAATTAAGCATATGATAAGCGTCTAAAATCATAAAGTGTACATTTACTACGTTCTAAATTCAACATTCATAGCTTATATCCACATGAACCATACCATATATAGCTTGGAAAATATCGTTGATGAGAAATTTACTATTATTAAAACTGGTTTATTATAGTGACCTCGTGATTATTTCTACTTACCGCATATAATATCTAAAGCAGCTCTCGTAATATATGGATACACATTAAATTCTTCACCGTCCACTGCATGCTTCTTCAACAGTTTGACAAGAATTCGAGCCTGCACTTGGATGTTGTCGAAAAAGCCTTCGAGAGTGCCAAAATGGAACGCTGGAGTTAGGACTTTTCTCCTGTTTAACCATTTCGAACCTGTATAAAAAATTTTAATAAATTATATACTAGCCAATAAAATTTTTAGTTTAGATTAAAGTTTAGTTTAAATTATAACAATTATAAAATTACAAAATTAATATAATTTAATATATAAAAAAATGCTAAATCCAATAAAATAACTGACTTGTAAGGAAATTAAGAAAAATGAAGAATAAATTTTTAGGAATGAATAATGATTACGAATTTAGCATGTTAATTGGCATGTCAGTCATATGTATCCGATGCTAAGAAAATACATATTACCTAAAAATTTCTTGGCTTCTCGAGAAAAATGTTTTAATGTCCAAATGTTTTAAGGGCCATGTCCGTCATATATGTGTGACATAAAAATTAATGTTTTTTTTTTCAGAAATGTTTGCTATTTATTTATTCTTTGATACATTAAGTTTCCACGATACTTTTTTAATTAAGTTATCTAATAAAGTTACCCTGGCCAATATGAAAAATTTCCTAATATTATCGTGGCTAATATCGTGTTAATATAAACAAATTTATATTAATTGAAATGGTTATGAAGTATATAGAAAATAAATGTTAAAGAATAATCCAAAAATATATAAATTTAATATTTATAGTTTCTATTATACAAAACTATTTTATTATTTATATGCGCGCATTAAAGGTACAATACCATAATAAATAGAAAAATCAACTTTAATAATAATTAACTTTTTTACCTCTATTTGTTAAGGGACACAACTATGTAACCGCCTAAAAAAGGTGATTTTTGGGAATTTATAATAAAACTTTATCAATCATTTCAGAATTTTAGGAATATATTTATACATGCTTTAAGAATACATAGTAAAAATTATTATTAAATATTTTTTAAGTTATCGTCGATCTCCAACGGCGCGACAAAAAAAGGCCTTTCACTGCCGCAGTGATTCCGGCCTTTTACATGGATGAAATTTAAAAAACAAATCCCGTTAAACTAGATAATATTTTCTGTAAAATGAACTACGATAAAAAAAAAACAAAAATTGACAAAAGGACGGCGTTTTTTTAAAAAAAAGTCGAATTTTACCCGAAATTTTGGCCGTTTTTCGACTGCCAAAATTCGATTTTTGATCCGATCAAAAAATCGATAGTTCGTTTTACGGAGAACTATATATAGAACATGTAGAAAAAATTTTGGTAGTGATTGGATCATTTGTTTTCGAGTAATCGCTGCAGCAAATTCGGAAAATGCTGTTTCAAGAAAAACGCGTTTAAAGATTAAATGATGGTTATACTATATACTATATATATACTCTTTAAATGGCTGTGACTCAAAAACTATTTAAGATATCGATTTAAAATTTTGGTATATTATTTTTAAAAGTATAACCTATCGAAATATGAAAAATTGAAAATACGATTTTTTAAAAACTTCACACTAGTTGTATACCCCTTAATAAAAACAACTAGAATCACAAATGTAATTAATCTGTTTTTAAAAAAAATCTCTTCTCATGTTATTCATTTGGAGTTTGTTTTATAAGTCAACTTGTAAAAAAAAATATTTTTATTTTGTTATATATATATATATATATATATATACATGTATATATATGTATGTCTATAAATATTATTCTATTCAAAATCGTAATAATATTCGGTTATTCAAATAGAAAATGTGTAATAGACGAACGATGGCCGATGGCTGAAACGATCGTTCATTGATGTATATCAGTGGAAATCCAGGCGATATTACTATAATCAATTCACAAGGCTATGTTTGCCATTACTATGTGACATTCAATTTCACAAACGAATCGAGATTTTTGATACGATGAATGATATTCACTATATCAAAATATTCTGAATCACATATCATATAGAAGATATACACACACATTTTCATAACCATACGTGTATCTATTGTGCTCGGAATGAAAATCTAAATGAAAAACATAAGCTGTTTTGTATAAATATATACATTATTTAAGAAGTGTTGGAAACTATATTTCATAATAATATTATAGTAATAGAAAATAAACTAGAGGAGTGCATGACATCGTGCCATAAGGCAAATTGTTGGCACTTCCCGTACCGTAATTAAAAATCTTGGTACGGAACCCCCAAAAAATTGACACAAAATGTATACACAAACATTTTTGACCGCCAAATTACATTTTTTTAACTTATTTTTATTGAGAGTCCACAACCGCTAGACCTGCCTTCCCAAAAATTTAATCAGTTCTTTCTTATTAATACAAGAATAGGAAGACTTATCACAATGATAAAAAAAAAATTTATATTCATATGTAGTAGTGACAACGGTTTTCACTTGGAAATATAGATAGAAATATGATTCAAAGTGAAAATAGCCCTTGTCCAATATTGCTGCACCAATAATAGTCAGCCCTATTAGATAAATTCTAATAAAATCATAAAATATGGATGGATTAACCTTAGGTTTACCATATAAAATACGAAGTAAGAAGAAGTTTCAGCCCAACAGCTTATAGAACGGACGGTTCTCATTGCTGTTGATATATAACAATAAAGAAAATAGTATCCGAAAACGTCGTAAATGAGTTATGTATTAACTTCCCGAAGGAGAAATTTGTGTTTTCATCAAATAATCCGAATCGCTAATTTTATGTTTTCTCGATGTTTCAAGCCATTCTGAATCGAATGAGACCAAATTTGGAGTAAGTATGTATGCGTGTGTGTACATGTATGTGAACAGATTTTTTGCCGTAAATATACGAGTATATCATGATCTTATAAAAAATACTAAAATATTACGACCTTAGGACAAGTAGTTTAATTTTGAACATTCATCAAAGTTTGAGAAAATGAGATTTTTTTTTGACGTTTGTTAAAATTAAAATTAGACGATTTACTTGGTATAACGATAGAGAACTTGGCCTTAATGAATATACTAAACCATCAAAGTCCTATGGAAACTGGTTCAATTATAAAAATTGTTGATTCTTGAAAATTTGCTTTTAGAAAATAGTTCGAGTTAACGTGTTTGTTCGTTTTCAATTATGTGTAATAAATCCACTCGGAATACTTTTAATCACTCATAAATTAATTTATTTTTTATTGATTAAGTCGTTTATTTACACACATCGGGATCAAGGCAAAATACCAATATTAACTAGTTTGAATTTTAAAAATTTAAACTTCATCACAGAAATCATAATTATTCAATTATTTTCTAATGAAGTATAGTATATATAGTAGCAAATACATCACAACAACACACAGAACACTAGCAAGAGTAGTTTTTCTTTCTTAACTTTCGACAAGAAGTTTTAATTGCAACATTTTTCATTATTATTTTTGCACATTAACAAATTTATAAATATAGTAATTGATTGAAATATTGTAAATATAGTAAAGAATGAAAAAATTTGAACAACTTAAGTTAAGTTAGAACTTAAGAGGCCTATAATATGTAGTACTAATTTGATTTAAGCCTCTTCTACAAATGGCAACGCAAACAGTTTTTCCATCCCTGTGTGAAAAATTACTATTAGAAGTTTCTTAATAAGGTCAATATTGATTGATGCAACAATGTCGAATCAAGACTATTATCAATTGGAACAATATTGCTATCAATATTTCAAAGTGAAAACTGTTATCGCTACTTGACAACAGGTTTGGTAGTTCTAATCACTTACCTACGGGCGATTACCAAATGCAGCATTTGAGATTGAAAATATTTTTGATTACTTTTTAAATAATAATAATAACCAGAATATTCGAAACTTCACTGTAGTTCCTGTCCAAAAATATTTGTGTTCCCTTTGGGAGTCGTTGTTAAAATTTAAGGACGAACTCAGTATTGCCTGGTTTTTATAATCGGAGTAACGGTACTTTTAGTTCTTGCGCGATATTCAGATACGTACTTTGTACAGGGATGAATTTTATAGACGTAGTTTAACGATAAATGAATATTGAAGCATTATAAACAAAAAAAGATACATTTTATCAAAAATGTTAATAGAGTAATAGCGATCACTACGAGTAAATTTGGGAAAGCATTAATTTTGAAGTGAAATATTGATGAAAACAGTTTTAGGATGAGAAACCCTAGAACAAGTTTTGTTTGAAATGATTAGTTCAGATAAATAATACTTTAAGACAAATCAATTTGACTGAACACAACAAAGAGTTTCATAAATATTTTTGCAATATTTAATACGCTTACGGAACCTGATACTTTTTACCTTCTATTTATGAATCGGACTTTCAAAATTTATTTGATGTTTATGATCAAACCACTTCTAATATGCCTATAATATTTTTAAGTGTTCGGTTTGAATATCAGATATGCTTAATTTGAGACTTTCAGTTCAATTGCTTTCTGAACTTAATTAGGTCTCTTACCCCAACATGGTTTGACCAATTTGAATTATTAATATTTTATTGTTTACACTATATTTATATATATATATATATATATATATACATATATATGGTTATTAAATTAGAAAAAAATACTTACCTGAAGATGTCAATAAACCCAGGCCTAACCATGGATGCAAAAATTTATATCCATACGACTTGTCGATGTACTTTGAAGATGACATTATGGTCTAATAAAAGAAATTTGAAAATTAATAATTACTTATTATGAAATTAAGCATTATAATGAAATAAATGTCTTTACCTCTAAATATTCAGCCTTTCTGATAATTACGACAGGAATTGGTCCAGCCCAAACTCTAAATAATGGACCGTTTTCTTTGATTCTTTTGGCAAAAACTTTGAACACTTCTGTAAAATAAAAGAATAGTAATAATAAATTTAACTATGAAATGATACTATGTATCAGTAGTGGCAATAATAAAGTTATAAATAAATTCAGAAATAAAGTTTATAATTAGTAATTAGATTCGTTGAAAACGCAACAACAACGCATAATGCAACAAGGACAATTCAGTACTTTTGCGAATAGAAAGTTTGTAACCAAGCCTCGTAAAAAACTCTTAGAATTGAAATTTAAATATATAAGCCAGTAACCAACTGCAATATTCAACTTAAAAGTTTCTTTAACACTAGCTTGAGAAAACGATAACAATATGAAAATCGCATTCATATTATAATATTGATTTAAAATTATAGTTTCTACTTTTTTTTCTAAAACATTCTAAATCCAGCAGGCTGAATTTTTTAGAAAATAAACTACACAGTAGAAAATTTTATTCTAAAAGTAGATATTTGCGTATAATCATTATGAGAGATTATTAAAAAACTAGTGCAAAATTAAATCAGACAATAATAAGTAATTGAACCATAAAAACAAATCAGATCAGAATACATGATGCAATTGAAAAGTACATGTACTTTAGAATCCAAATTATTTGATAGAACCATCTGATAAAAAATTGAAGCAAAAGAAACCTTATTGTGTAAAATTATTATTATTATAATTAATTCATATTCAATAACCAAAGAAGACGAAAACATCCAATCATTTTAAATTTTGCTTATTAAAAAAAATTAAACTAGAATTCTATCATCAATACCAGTATATTTATATCCTTTACCTTCTCTTGGAACTCTAAAATCCATAGTGTTTCCGACCAGAGGCTTCGCTTTCGGTCCTGGTAGTCTTTCGACTAATTCGATGAATTTACGTCTTCTCATCCACGCCTGGATCACCAGGATTACTGGATAGATCAATAATGCAACTAAAGCTGCTAATACTACGCTTCTGTCCATAGTCACCTGATGTGTTTAAGGAGCACTGGAATTAATAGATTTAATTAATACTCATGAAATTTAATATTATCGATTTTGAGCAGATTTGTAAGTAAATCAAGTAGTGTTATATTTATATTAAAGATTAAATAAATATTTATAAAAGTAGTAAAATAAAAAGTATATATCTTTATAGCATATAATTTTAACCTGTAGCAGATATCAAGAAAATAGGGATTATTTATTATATGAATTATATAGAATGAAAAATTTAGTTAAACCATTTAATTTATTTAATTTAGTGGCAAATATTGATTATTATAAAATTACATATAAATTTTTAGTTAAATGTAAAATGAGAATTTAAATGTAGGAAACTTTATATATAGCTAATTTGTAAATAAGAGGCCAAATAAAAAAAAGTATATAAAAGTCAAAGCCTGTAACTAGTTTACAAAATATTCAATACATTAATAAAGTTTTCTAAAAACAATATATTTTAGACATCATTTACATGGATGCGTAATGTCGTGATTTTTTCAAGTCGAAAACAATTTAAGAACTGTGATATTAGTAGTAATATAGTAAGTTATAGTAGTAATAATATAATTACTTTTAATGAACTTGTAATTTGAATTATTATAAATATTATAATGCACTTAGCATTAAAATATCCCACGAATACTATTATTTAATTTTAACTCTAATCATCATGTTAAGCATTATTAACATTTTCCAGACTAATTATTTTTATATCATAAATTCAAATTCAGCATTTTATTGATATGATCTGGTTTTAATAATGTTTTATTTTTTTATTGATAGCAATAGTTATTTTTATACTAATAATATAAAAATAACTATTTATATTTTGTAAATTTTGTTTGTAAAAATTGTGACTTAAGCTTTTATAATTTTATTAACTTCCTGTAGGGTAGTTATAGCAATGGATCGAAAAACGAAAATGAAAATTTTTGCATTTCTCGATGTTTTGAAGGTTTCTGAACATTCTGGCATACCTCAGAAAAAATGGATGTGTGTGTGTGTGTTTTGTATGTCCGCATTTTTTCGTCCACGTTTCGCACGGATCAACCGATTTGAATGGTTCAAAAATAGTCGGTTCCTATTGATAGGAAGATGTGCTCATTAGTTTTTAGCAAAGGCAGGTCCAGCAGTTACGGAGATAAAGAGCAAAGAGTGCAGAAAATAGAAAACGAGTTTTTGAGAGAACGGAGCATCCGATTTGAATGATCTGAAAACATTCAATTGGTAATGATTGGGAGAAGCGGTTATTAGTTTTTGGCAAAGGCAGGCCCAGCCATTTCGAAGATACAGAGCTAAATGTACAAAAAAATGCAGTTTTTGAGAGAACTATGTGTCCGATTTGAATGATTCAAAAAACTTTTTGCTTCTTTTAACTGTTTGAATGATTCAAAAAACTTTCTGCTTTTAATTGATTTTGGAAAAAAAATTTTAGTTTCAATTTTTTTTTCGAATTTTTTTTTTGTATACCGAAAATAATTCAGATTTCATTTTGAATTCTGACTAAAGTTCTAATATACTTTGAACAAATGATTGTTAAATGTTACAATATTTATAATAATCTATTTGAAAACAATGAATATTCCTCAAACATTTCGTTACGGTACGGGAAGTTCCAGCAATTTGCCTTAAGGCACGATGCCATACACCCCACAAGTTTAATTAGTATTGACAATTCAATCAAATATTTTATATTATACAAGTCATGTATCAATGATTACATTTTACTTAACTATATTTATGAATTTTGTAAATAAATAAATAGTATAACATTTGTAAAAATACTGGCAGTTATTTCACAATAATTATAATTTAAATTTAAGTGGAAATATGATAAATTTTTTAATATCATTTTAAAATTATTTACATTTTACAAATTGTGTTATGAAATACGAAGGTAATATTCAAGTAGCATTTTGACTTGAGGAAAATATATAATTGGTTTTAATTATTTATCATATTATTATATACAGTATTAAATCTGTGATCATAAAATTAAAGATTATAAAGATCATAAGCGGAAAATTGTTAAATAACTGTTGAAAATAATACACACACACACACACACACACACACACATATAATATATATATATATATATATATATATGAGTTAGTTCTTGAGGGCGATACATCAAACAAAGAAAAGCCAAAGATTTATAAAATAATCTTTATTTTCCAAACGTTTCGACATTCAATTTAATGTCATCATCAGTGATCTAAAAACAGTATGAAAATTAGTATATCTAGGTAATTATAATATATGTGGATTGGTAAAGTAACTATACAATAAGAGAAAAATTAACAAACAGCAACACTTAACAACAAACCAAATATAAAAGATAGTATCGCCCTCAAGAACTCACTCATATATTTCAACATCAAAATTAACTACTAAATCATATATATATATATATATATATATATATATATATATAATATACGTGATATATATGTATATTTTTAATATTTTTCATCAAATTCTTCCATAAATTATTAATATCATTTGTTAGTAAATTAATATATGCAAAGTCACAAGATTAACGAAACTCAAAATCATCGTGAATATACTCGTCGATTAAACTCACATATAAAAGATAAATATTTAATTTGTCTGCAAAATCATGCTTATAATTAAGTAAAATCAAAGGTTAAAAATTATCGCAGACATGCCTATAAATATTGTTGTTTATTCACATATAATTAAATTTGATATTTAAAATCGAGTTTGATCTGGAAAATGAGATTAGAAATAGATATTGTTATATTAAATTATTAATGATTAGGATCTTGTTTAACCGATAATGCATTGTTGCGATGCTGGATTTAAAAAGTTTAAACACAAATACTTTTGTTTGTGCAATGTTTTTATATATATATATATATATATATATATATATATATATATCAGAATATTGTATATTAAATTAATTAAATTAAATAATCAAGAATTAAATCAATAATACAAAATTAAATATATAATTTATAGCTTATTTAAATAGTATTGAAATTGTTGTCGAAGTAAAGTTGTGATGCCGTTTTAATAATTAATCTTGTTAAAATAGGCAATAATATCAATAGCAAAATTTTAGATTTGTTAATACTGTCTTTCGAAAAAATGAGTACCTTTACTTCGATCTAATACATGCATTTTGATGTAAATAAATATATAATTAGTTGCTTCTGGGAGATTTAACTTTTATATCGTACATTTGTAACTTTTATAATAAACATATAATTAATAGAATATTATACCCAGTGGTGTTGTCGAGCCGGAACGCGCCGGAACGTCGTTCCGACAAATCATTTTTGGGAAGGAACGCGTTCCGGCAAGATAAAATATAAAAAAATCGCTACATACAGAAAATGATTTAATAAGTAAATTTTATAAATTATTATTCAACTAATTTTTATTAAATGTTCTTATTATTGTAATAAACATACATATATGTGCACACAATGGGTTTTGTAATAATTTTTGTATCTTTCCTTTTCGAACGGAACCGGAAAAAACATGAGAACCGGTTTTTGAACCGGTTTATGAACCAGTTTTTAAATTTTAGCGTTCCGACAAAAATATTAGCACACACCCACTGGTTTTATCAAAGTCGTTTTTAATTTAGTTACATATTGAGGTGTATGAACTGAAATATTAATTACAATACAGTAGTGTATTTCAAATTTCACATATATTACTTTAAGACCGAAAAGTGTCTGATGCCCAATTATTTCGGATATAAGTTGGACTTGTTTCGGACATAGCGAGCGTTAGTCAAATTAAATAAATAATTTAAGACATTCATATAATGGAAATTGATCGTAGCGAAAAAAGCAATTCTATAAATACAAAAGCAAATTCTATAAATACAAAATTCAATTATTGATTAACCTGGTAGTAGATTGAAAAATTGTACTCCTAGACTAGTAATTCCCAACGTGGGGCACACGCCCCACAGAAAAATCCATTTTTAAATTCAAAGGGGGGAGGCAAATTAAAAAATTACATGACTTTAACCCACTTGCTTTGGGTGATTTGCATGTAATTTGTAAATACTGTTAAAAATTTGTTAAATATATTATGATCATTGTTTAGTTTAAGTGAGCACACGATGCATGTGTAAATCATATAATTTTTCCATATATATTTCCATAGCTTAGGTAAATAAGCATCCCTCTTTAGATCTAGTGCAAATTCCAAATTCTGTATGCATTAATCTGTTTATTTATAAATTGCCATCCCTTCCAGACAGCAGTATAATAATTTTTATATTATATTTTTAAATTTAGAATTTTTTAGAATTCAGTAAGTTGCGAGACTAAGAACATCTTAAGAAAATCAGCTCGCACAAGTTACTCAACATTTAATAAAATTTATAATTCTATGTCTATTGTCGCACAGTGCACACAATCATTTAAAAGTGCAGTAATTAATTTCCTATGAAGTGATAACGGCAAAGGCAGCAATAAGGTGTAATCGATGCCTTAACGGATATTTTGGATATTTTAGATATTCAATACCCTACATTTTATACCGAATACACCTAACCTATATCTACTATATATCCTATTACCTATAATTTTCTTTACACGATACATTAACCCTACCGAGAATCGAACCCGGGTCCGCCGCGTGGCACGCAACAACCTTATCCACTAGACCACCGTAACGCTACAATCAACCGTCTTTTTTCGCGTGTCGTCGCGCCACCTTAGTATTCATTACCTAATTAATTAGAAAATGACCCGCGGAACAACAGTGCGTTCCAATATTATATTATTACTGGGGGTACCCATAGGGTAGTGGTTAAGGTGCGCGACCGCCACGCGAATCCCGGGTTCAATTCCCGTATAGACAATAATAGGTAGAGATAATACATAGGCATAATACATAGTTATAATAAGTTAATGACGGTGTAGGTATATCACGGTATGATTGATAATAGATATCTACCCATATACAAAATAATATAGTATAGTAAGATAGGTAATAGGTTATCTATCGTAT